CGTGTATTTGTTAATGTATGGCATGTGGCCCCTTGTGGCCCCAGAGGTTGGACACCCCTGCATTAATGCAACATGTTGAATTTATACTGTGATATTTAAACAAACGTCAATGGTTTATTTTTAAAGCCACATCCTGACCTCAGTGTAAACAAAATGAATATGGGTACTGGCCAGTCCCTGGTCACGTTCCCAGTTCAAGTCCACAACAGGATCTGGCTCCTCCAAGATGGACTCTGACTAAAACTGGCCAAATCTGTTTGTCTTGTGGAGGTTTTTTTTTTTTTTCAGCAAAATAAAATGCCAATGTTAAACAGAATATTGCTTGTTCACTGTCTCTAATCTGAAACCTGTGTTATTGTATTTGTCATCATCACCAGAATCAGTTCTATAAACATACAAATGAAGACACTTTCATCCCCTGTCGCAGTTTTTCAGCCTCTTCATCTCCAAACCTCAATCTGATTTGTCTCTAAACTCCGTCTCCAGATGAAGCTGTGCTGTAAACTGAGCTCATCAGCTGTGTTCTGTTATGTTTGCAGAAGGCAAATAACAAACATCCAGCTGTGGTGCGTCCAGCTCGGAGATCGACATGTTACTTTTATTACACAGATTAAAATGTAAGTTTGTTGTTTTGTCTTTTCAGTACTGCAAACGTTACTGCTCTAATGGGAAACAGGAATCTGGAGAGCACTGAAAAACAAGTCAGTTTAACACAAAAAACAAAATTAATAATTTGTTAATTTGAAGAAGAGTCAATCTCAACCGGGGAAAGCAGCGGGATCAGCCTTGAAGAAGAAAAACACTGCCTACTGCCTATCGACTAAAGCGGTAATTCTAAAATAGTGGGAAATGGGGAGGGGGGGGGGCTTCCAATGGAATTTGGCACGCTGGAGATAAGTGTACCACTGCTGTAATGCTTGAATGATAACAAGCCTCTAGTCACTAGGTGGCAGCAACTCATACAGTGGTTTGTACAGATAAAAATATAGTGTAAACGTTATCAGGTTTTCAATAGTAGAGAACCACTGGACTAAAGTAGGTAGGCAGCTCTGACTCTGTGACAAAGTAAACAAACCTTTGCACGACACAACCTCAAAGTATGCGTTAGCCAGAGTCGTACAGGACCACCGGGGCCACAGCCACTGCGCTAACATTTCCAGGATATGCAAAGGTTTACAAATCATCCCTCTGACTGCCTGTTTTTCTTTGTCCTTCCTTGCATCTAATGTGAGGCATCGAGGATATAAAGTATGCCACAACATAACACTGCAAGACGTAAGCAACACTTTGTCACCTAGAGTCAACACATCCAGTTTGTCTACAATGAATTTCAGAAGCAACGACATCTCTGTAATCTGCGGCAGCTCGCTGTCAAGAGAAAACCCTACATAAGCTGCTCGCTGCCACACGTGCACTTGCATGCACGCACAGACACGCAAACCAGAATGTCATCTATATGAAAGTGCACATTAAAATGCGAGCAATGTCAGCCATTTGCGTGTGTAACCCATAATTCAAACACATATAACCTTAGATTATCCAGAAACACTTTCACACGCCAACTCCTTTTGTTTACTCCATTTTCATAGTCACGGCATTTTCTTGAATAAGTTATTTTGGATCAGTTGAACCTGCTCAAAAATCTGATGTCCATTCTCTCTTTGCAGTGTTCATTTTTAAAGGACAAAAAACCTGATCAAATTCAATTGAAAACAGCTCGACACTTAACAAGGACTTCATCATAAACCAGTCACAGCTGCCATAACATGGAGTAGTAATCACAACAGGACACCCTTGAAAATAGAACGGCTGAGATTTCTCTTTGACCTAGTCTTGTGTATTTCACTTCACCTCGCTCGATTACATCAGATTGTGATACGAGGTCTGTTGATCTGTTCTTTCATCATTCTTCTAAATGGAGACAGACACTCCAACGTCTGATTATTTTAAGGTCCCTTGACAGCCATAATCTCTGGTAGACTCAAACCTTACTCCATTTATTAACAACCAGATAAGAATCCGTGGACAGTACAGTAAGGACAGCAGCTGTCCTCCCTCTTTGGATAAAAAATAAAACTGTCCAAAGACGTTTGACAAATAAATGTGTTGCTACTCTCCTTCTTTGAATCCGACTCGGAACCATTAGTCAGAAAAACTGCATTAAGATAAAAATGTACTGCATAGCACTGTTAAGTAAGTGTATGAAGGATGTGTTTTCTGCGTGTAATCCTATTAAGTGAAATACTGTCAGGCCTTAAGAATTTAGTGCCCACTCCAGTCCTACCATGATGAAAAACATCTGTTATCAATTTTTTATTTTAATGACATCACGTTTTGGGCTGTGTTCTCTGGCTCTGCCCTCTCCTGACAAAACTAACAGACACGGCGCTGAATCAGCAGAATCCGAAATGAACGATTCAGCCAGCAGGTCAACCATCAAACACCAAGTCAATTACAAACTAAGTGTATGCTAAGAAAAGCTGCTGCTAAAACGGATCCTGGATGCTGAGAGCCAACCTTAAGTCACACTGTTATTTCATGACTGACAATTCCAGGCCGTGTTCAATGAAACGCTGCTAAGATTTGTTTCAACTCTTTAATCTTAAAGCAACCAAACTCTGCCGGGTAATCCAGAACCTTCTACACCGCACATTGTGAAGCAGGAATCAAAAACGTCATCTATAATTTCCCAGCAGCCCTAAGTGTTGTGTTGGCCACATGGACTGTATATGGACAATGATTGTCCCGACGAGTGTTAATTTCCAAAGCCACACACACAAATGAAGTCCTTGGTGCAATACCACTGATAACCAGCAGGTCCAGTTACAGCAAACAGTGGGTCTCATTGACAGAAAACAAGAATTGCCAGATTCCCTTTTGTAACACTTACATATAGATTTTACATATTGATCATTTTATATCATTGTAATGTTTAGTCTTCTAACGGTCCGTGTCCACTTAATTAACGAACAAAGATGTGATTGTGTCTTCTAACGTCCGTGTCCACTTAATTAACGAACAAACAGATACATCATTTTAATGTGATTTTCAGCTCCACTTATTTAAGGGATAAATTAATTAATTTAGGCAGTTATTATTCTGATAATGAATGGCACGGTGGTAGGATTCCTGTCTTCCATACACATCATGGGTCAGGGGCAGAGGATGCCACTGATCTGGCGGCAGGAAAAAAAAAAAGATAGTTTTGAAATTTTTCTTAACAAAAATGCATCTAAAAATCTAAATGACATGCAAAAAAAGCTAATATGCATCTAAAAATCTAAATGACATGCATTCATGTTCTAAAATTCTAAGAAATAATATTAAAAATACATTTAAGTCACTGCCACTCACTTCCTGTTCATAAAAAGCATCTGTCCTGTTTAATAGATAGTCCCACACACACACACACACACACACACACACACACAGCTTCTCTTCCAAAGCTGCAGGGCCTCACACAGAGCTTTACAAAGCAAGAAGTCAGTCAGTCGCAAACATGTTTGGGTTATTACAGATAGAGCCAAGTCAAAAATGTGTCAAACTGCAAATACATGCTAAAATATCAAAGACAATGTCTTACATAATCAGATTCCCACATAGCACTGATCAATCGCAGCTATTCACATTGAACTGGGACTGGATCCCGTGTAAAAACTGTAACAGTACACAGAACCAGAGCTGCTGGGGAAAAAAAGAGTAGAGGCAACAATCTGGAACACAATCCTCAGAGATGGTGGATGTGAAGATGTATGTTTGAGCTCTGCCCAAAGTAACGACCACAAATAAGTGGAGAACTGGGCACCATTAGCCTGGAGCTGCTAACCAAGACTAACCGTGTGGAGAGTTAGATGACAGCAGACCATTATCTGGTTCTGATTTAAGAACAAAAAACCTGGGGTTGAAGCTCAACATCCCCCAAACCTGCATTATATATTTTTTGCAATGCCTCTCATTCACCTTCTCAATTAACTCTGACTGACTGTCAGACTCTGGATGCTCAAAGGAGGCTGCGTGGCCTCCGCAGAGTGATTGCCAATTTAATCACTCCATAAAGCCAAGAATTTACAACAAAGAGCAGAAAGAAAGAAAAAGGGAATTCAATTTCATGTCCAGCTTTCATCTCTAGAAAAGATCTATTACAGTATATAAAAGTCAACTGTACAGGGTTACGTGACAAGTCCCGTGATTAATGTATTGCTCTGAGGAACTAAGAAAAACCCTGTGAGAAATGCCATCCTTCTTTTCCTCACTACAATCCAAACCCCTTCACTCAGTATCCGAAAATTAAACGCATTGTTTCTTTTTATCTGAGCCTTCGTGGACCCGTACGGGAAAGTGAGACCCATAAATCTGACACAACAGAACCTAAAGAAATGTCATGCAATGTAAAGTCAGACAGCTTTTCCTGTTTGCATGCCCATTTCAAAATCTGGTCTCCTCCTCTAAATCATACCATATGCTCCAAAAATCACATTTTGACTAAAGCACATCCACAGGCTGCATGGCCAGGAGTTAAAAATAGACAGCATGCAGGGGAAATTTGGAGTTTGTTCAGGTATGTTGTTGGTTAGGTTCATATGGTAGATCCATCGAAACCTCTCCATTATGATCAAGTATATCTACAGATGTGTTTGGAGAACAGATTTATAACAGACATGTTGGGATTTTTTTGGCTTAAATCGGATCAGATGTTAATCTTCATCTCAAAACCTTACCTTCAAAAAAATTAAGGTGTTTTTCAGGAAACATTGTGATGAAAAAAAAAAGTTTGCCTATTACTTTGTAGAATGGAATGGATTCCTGGTAGTTGTATGAAGAACTGTGTGTACGTTGCCAAACATTTAATGCATTTAAATAAACTATGACTACAAACAAGGAAGCAGGTGCACAGGTCACTGCTCAACAAATCATTTAGCTAATTATCACGATACATTCCTGCATATTCTTAATTAAAACACAGGTAAAAAACACAACAGAGTGTTGTAAATGTGACTTACTTTCTCTGAGCCTCTGGTTTGCCGTCGATAAACCTAAGGAGAGAGTGAAAAAGAGAGACGCTCCTTCAAGTTCCTGAACTTGCTTGAGAATAGTCACAATTTAAAATTTGCTTTAGAATTAAAGTAGCTCAGTCGCAAGTTTTCTTTAAATACGCTAACTACACCATGAAATAAAGCCACATTCTCTTATTCGGCGAGAGAGATGTAGTACTTTTAAAAGATTAACGTCTGTTAAAAAAAAATGCTCCAAGCGTCTCGGCAGAAATAGTGTCTAGGAAACACCTCGCTTGCATAAAAGTAATACTTTAAAAATATATATTTATTTTTTAACCGTGTACGAATTGTTCTGCATCGGTTGTTCAGTGTTTATCTTCATGAAAAGTTTACCTAACTAATTTCAAATAAGTTTACTCTGAAGAATAAGACGTTTTCTTTTTTCCTTCGGTCTAAATATCGGCCCATTATGAGCAAATCCCTTTTTGGGACATTGCTTTAAAAACAGTAAACACAACTAAGTAACTGTGTCATATTTTAAAACATTCTGCTAGGTTTTAAAAATCCCTCTGGGACTATTACCTTTAAATTTGACCAACTGTGAGCCAGTGTACCAAACGAAGTGCCTGTAAAAATGCCACACAAATTAAATTAGAATCAATTAGAATAGAATGTAAGTCCCTCAGGGATTCCAGACGCTCAGCACCATAGATGGAACCAATAAACTGATAACAAATATGGTTATTAGGAAAACAACCACGTGGAAAATGTAAACAGGTTTACGAACTAACATGTCATTTCCTGTTTGACAGGAAATGCAGTGTATTTTGATGCCCATATCAACCAGGAAGTGAACGGTTTGTTTGGAGCACATCAGAGTTAGCATTTATATTAGGTATATTGTTTCCAAAACTCCAGCAACTCACACTCTCTGTTTTCCAACTGTACAGAACAAAAAAATAAAAATGTGAATTTTTCAATTTCAATTTGAATCTTCCTCCATTTCTCAGCACACGTAAAGCTTTTCCCAGTCTGTGAGGATCAGCCAGGGACAAATATGAGGTTCTGGTGACTCCTGAGACATTTGCATATTCAAATCTTAGTTTACATAATATATTAAAAGTCCATTCTAAGAAATTGTCCTTTTTTGCATATTCAGAACTTCAAACAGGAAAAACCGTGCAAAGATGCAGCGTCGGTCCAAAACTCTGCAGTTGTTCAGCTTCATTCTACGTGAAATAGATACAGAGCTGCTCTGTCTCTGACTGTTGTAGTTCATCAACATTCCTCCCTTGCAGCTGAATGGCATCAGAACACACTAGTTTGGCAGCAGACCTAATGAGTAAAGAAAGACTTGGCCTCAGACTGTGATAATATCATGGCAGAAATAGTAGAACAGATACATTCTGGGTAATATTACATCAGTAAATGCAGTGTGCTTTTGTGTTGAATCATTCTTTATCATGGCCGTCAGCCTAGAAAAGCTTTCATTTCATAGCATCAAACCAGAAGATTGTTTGGCTTCCCTACAATTGCTGATGCAACCGACATCTGACCAGAATCTGCTGAAGCTGGTCTGCATTTCACAGCAATTCAGACCCAGAAAATATCTGCAGACCGAATGACCTGGAGGACATACAGGAGACATGGTTCTCACTGTAGAGCGTCTCAGCTCAGCCAGTCCTCCCTCCCCAGCCATAAAAATGTTATACTGTATCTTTCCCTCTCTCTTTCTCTCTCTCTCTCCCTCTGGCTCTGTTGCGCCTTCTACCTTTTTGGCTTTATCACCCGCTTTCCATGAAATCTCAAAACCATTCCCACTCTCCAGAGTGTGTTTTAGATACACTACAGTAACCGTAGAGCGATAATTCAGTGGAGGGAAAAATGACCATTCTGCTAACTGGTGAAGACACGGTTGGGCTGCAGGACAATAACTGAGGGATGACAGATTGATAAAGGAAGAGACGCAGCGTGAACCTCTGTTCTCTCCATTATCAGTGATTCAGTGAAAATACACTCTGTGCTACGTCTGAAGCCATATTTGGACACGACCAAATCGAACCACCGACTTCATACAAGTCGCAGGAGTTTAGCGACTGTCTTTCACATCTGCGGATAAATGGTTCAAACTGAAGTCACTCTACTGCACCCACGGCTAATATTTACATTTTACAAAGCCAATGGTGCAGGTGGAACATATTGTAAAAGTACAACATGTGCAGGTATTATTGTGGAAATACCTAATAATGTCATCCGCCCCATTAAAAAGTGTGAGAGCGTGTACAGTGAACCTGACACGGAGGCCAAGACTTTGATAGTGGCTCTTCTGAGAATTGCTAAGAATGAGCTGCACTTAAATAAAACCAACATTAAAAATGCCACGGTGGTATTTACCACAGGTGTCCGTGAGTATTATAAAACCTTGGCAGCATGGCAGCAAAGCCTTCGGCTTTTTCACTGCTAATTGTTCAGGTGTAAAAAGTCAACTGGGAGCCACTGAGCAGAAGGAATGCTGGGTAGAAATCCAACAGAGGTTGTCTTTAAGAAGGTAATCCTGTAAGACAGAGGGAGGGAGAGAGTTCTTAATGAACCAATAAATCAATCAATGAGTAATACAGTCAGTAATAATCTCTGTATTCATTTTATGGTCCACTGGAAGTATAGTTATTGCCACCTGCTGGTGAAACCTCCAAATAAAGAAATAGTAAGAAGTTAGAATTAGCAATTTTTTTAAGTAGCGAGTGTATTAGCATTCCATCCCAATAAAAGAAATAGTAAGAAACTGAGAAAGTTAGAATTAGCAATTTTTTTTTAAGGAGCGAGTGTATTAGCATTCCATCCCAATAAATGCATTTTGACTGACATATGCATATAAATAACTGCTTATTATTAATTATTTAGTAAAATAATACATCATTTTGTCTCAGCTTCATCACCTAAAGATAAAGGTCCCACCTTCTCCTGCGTTGCTGAGGTCTTTTTTTTAATGTCAGCTGCTACTCTATTGTTAGTATTACTGCCACCTTTTCCACAGGTAATCATTTGTACGGGGTTAGATTCCTAGAGGAACCACATGCTTGGCTGTTAACACAACAACTTCCCACATATAGGATCAATAAAGTTTAAATTATTATTATTGATTTAAGTTGCATAAAAAGAACAAAGAAGACGTACTGACAAAAACACCCTCTTAGTCCTTTAGTCTTCCATTTCAAACCTCTGAGTATATCACTGCTGTTTGATAGGTGTCCTGAATTCTCCGCCTCTGAGAAAGAACTCAAAACCATTGGCTCAACGCGTTTGGAAATACTCTTCTTCCCCTCAGATTGTACTGACAGGCTGTTGAGAAACTCTCACTCGTCATCGGTGTTGATGCAGCGAGGCTTCTGTGTTTCCAGTGGGGTGTTATTAGACACTGAGGTTGACTACCACAGGCAGTGGCCTCCATTTCCCACATCATCCTCGCACAGTGAATTTCCCACCATCTTATCTACAACTGAAACTGAACAAACAATAAATGTGTGCCCCTCTGGACTGCACGAGCCCATGATTGTGTTACTTGGCACCAACAACTCCACCTTGGGAGCTGTTACCAGGCGGAGATTTTGCAGTGAGGGGCCAATTATCTTGGCTCTCCATTCTGTAGGGATGATGTAATTTTTGCAGTGTTATCCTTGTGTCCAACTTCACAGAGGTCTGCCTTGTCATGCAGCGGCAACAATAACAGCAGCAGCAGCAGCAGCGGTAGAAGCAGCAGCAGCAGCGGCAGCAGCAGCATTGAGGTCATGGATACACTTTGATAATGATAAAGGGAAACAGTTGGAAAGGCAGCCTGGAAATGCAAAGGTAGTAGTTAGTTTTCACACATCACTTGACCTTGAGGACCACTAATTTTAGGGTAGCTGTATTCAGAAGCACAAGAAGAATGTGGAAAATACATCTTCTCTAAGGGTTATGGCAACCATTGTTTGTTTTTGCACCTGTGTGAAGGGAAAAAGTGTAAAACCCTGGTCGGACGCCATGTTGGAGGAGGGATTAAAGAGGAGTTAGGGGTAGGATCTCACAGCCAGTCATTGTTTCATGTTTAAATAGGAAATACCTGTACAGAAACACATGTACGTGTGTTCTCTGAGCGCCCTGTACTGTGTACTATGTACCAGTGATTCCCCATTACTGGGGTGTGGCACACTAGTGTGCCGTCAGAGATCATTAGGTGTGTCGTGGAAAAATATCCAATTTAACTTAATTGGTCCCAAAACTATTATTTAATTATTGCATATAATTTTTCTTTGCTCGTCAATGCATGAAAGATAGAACAATTAAATCCTCTTCTGCTAGGTGGCAGCAGATGGCTATTAACACGAAAAATAAATGGTCCGAGTTGTTGTGTGAAGCTTCAGAGTTACAAACTAAGATGTAGATCAGAGGTGGGCAAACTTTGGGATCATGGGACAAAATGGTGGATGTGGAATGCTTTGCGTAATAATTTAAATGAAAATGTACAAGAATAAACATCAACTGTCAAAGTTAATTTTGTAAAAACAGGAGACCTGGTGCCAGTGTCTGGTATTTTCCACTCGTTGCTGACTTTCATCTCTGAGGCTCCATTTTGGGTGTTTGCTCTGGGTCTATTGTCATCACGGCCGTGCACTGGGTCCAGTAGTTAATGGTGCATTGCAAACATGAACACCTGACAATGTGGGATAAGATAAAACACCCAGCGCTGCCATCACACAGCTGCTCAGTGTCCTGAGGTAGGAATGCACTGCTGCGGGACGCCCCAGAAGAAGACATTCATTAGAGGATTAGGGCTCACTCTTTGTACTGACACATGAATGAGGGCCACTGAAAGGAGAAGAATGAAATGATCAAAATGATATTCCAGCACCATTTTGTGCATGAGTGCAGATGCCGGGGGTGTAAGTAGCGTCAATCAAAACAGCCAGCAGATATCCTCCATGCAGGCAGAGATAACAACCGAGGTGGAATCCTGCTGCGCCGTAGCCTCTACTGTGCACTTTTTCATGCCATGTTTGAAAGTGTCAAAAGCCCCCGGATCAAAGAAGCCATGACCACTTTAACTTTTCTGGAAATGGAGCAGTGTTCAACAATTTCTCCAGAGGTTGAAAGATATTTTGGCAACATACACAAAAAAAATCTTTGACTGTTTTGTAAATTATGAAAAATGGACAGGACGTACAGTATATTGCAGTGGAAAACTGAACTTAACTGGGCCACATGTAATCTATAGTTAATTTCTCCAATAAGACCCTGACAGTGTGACATGACATTGGTAAATTTCACTGGTATGGACAAATCAGCTGTCAGTCAAATGCAGTGGTCACTATTATACTGTATTTGCCCTGAATTTCAATGTTGCTGACCTCTTGTGGTCATATTTCACCAAACAGGTTTCATTTTCTGTAGAAGACAAGATTAAGTACCGTTAAATCACAGCCCCCCCCCCCACCAACATAATTGTGTGTGTGCACAATAGTGTAGGAGCCAAGTGATGATTTGTAAGCACACATGTTGCGTAGTATTTGTAATGCTATTTTTACTAGGTGATAAGAAGTCTCATCAATACACACACAGATTTAAGCTGTGTTAGGGGTCTTGCTGCCACTGCCAACAACTGGAACAAGTACTGTAGGACAACTTGGACCCTGTTAGAGTCGCTGTATCGACCTAGAAATACCATTTGTGAGCCGTAATAGAGAGGAATAGCTGCAACGTCTGTTTCTGGAGCAGATACATTCCAGTGGAAAGATGAATTGAAGAACTAATTTAGTCAGTGTGTGTTTTCATGGTACCGCTACCAATCCTTCCAGTAAGGGCATAAATTTTTAAATGAACATGTCTGCACTCTCCTCAAACCTTCAGTCTTTGGTGTCATGAAAGCTGGTCTGAAGTGTTTCGACCGTCGTTCCAAACCAAACAGAGGCATTGCGTTTCTTTGCTTGTTTATTGAAGGTTTCAATATTAGGCAATTTGGCAGTGACACCAGGAATCCTCAGCCTTAGCCCAAAACGTGGCAGTATGTGTGGTCTGGTGCTGCCATTGCAGTGAACTCCGAGAGAAGCAGAGCCAGCACCAGCAGCACATTTCCCCATAGCAGAACACATGTCGACAGCAGGAAGACATGGCAAACTGGACGCCCCTTGTTCTCACACTTGATGCCAAATTGGGGGAAATTCTTCCAGTGGCAAGTATCAATTACTCACTTTAAACAAACATCCAAGGCTTTTGAACATCAACATGGTGCGGGCATGTCTCCCCGAACGGGACGTCTGATATTAGGAGACCACACACATGCAGTCACCTTTCAGGATCACCTTTCTCCTTATAATATCTACTTCCCTTACTCACGTTCCCTATTCATCACTCTCGGGAATTTCTGCCAGCATAACTTGAAGTACTTGAAGTAGAAGGTAGAGTTAGAAGGACTTTTTTGTGTTTGTCATTACAGTGCACGAAACTCTCCCTCCTTCACCTGCAGGGGTTGCTATAAACCCTGCCTTGGACGATAATATCAGGCTACCAGTCATCAGGTGAAGGCGGGGGACTTTGGGATATCAATGGGACACATATTACTTTAGAATTACTCAACTTTTCAGGAACTGGAGTTCTTTGGGTTTTAATACTGACACCTGCTGATAGTAGATTTGTTTTTCTCATTAACATTTCCATGTTGTGTAAAGTCGTGTTTTCACTAGTGAACAGTCATTTTAGCCAGAATGTGTGCACACTCCTGATTAAGAGAATATTTTTTTATAATCCCTTTTTTTTTTCAAAGACATTCCTGACCACTGAATCTTTAAAGGTGAAACATTCATCTTTGAGATAAAGGAAAGGCTACATTCTCTGCACTATCTTATGAAAACTAACCAGAGTGAGACATTACACTGTATGCTCTGGAGGAACTCTGGGCCTGTGCTCCGTCACAGTTTTATCAAAGGGGGAAAACACATCCATCACCTCCATCCTGGCCAGCCTCACATCAGTCAAGTCAACAGCCGACGTGAGGCTTTAGCCCCATCTGGTCCAAATGTAGGGCCAACATCACATGGTCTGCTCCAGTCATACAGCACGGCTCACACATCTCAGCAGCCACATGACCACAAGGCTCCGCTGAAGCTGTGCAGATGAGATACCAACGCAATCAGAGATGTGTGTCCATCTCACAGTTAGTGGTGGAGAAAATTACACTCACCCACGGGGGGAGCCACCTGCTGCTAATAATTTGAGGCCGTGAAGGCAAACCACAATTTATAAAGAAGTCCAGCGTGTGCACACACACAGAAGAACACAGGGCGAGATACCATCTCCAGACCTGGATGTTTGTTTTACCCCCAGACGGGGTAAAAACAATGTTACACCAGATAATTCTACTTAGAGTCCGAATGGAGTCAATTAGTGATTATTTGCAAATGCATTTAGAAGTACAAACAAGTATTAATTAAATAAGTATATATTTAACAATTAAATTTTTTTTAGAGGGACATTTTGTTTGGACAGCGTTACTCAAGCGGAAACTCAAAGAGATGAATTAGAAGAACAGACATTTTATTTAAAAGAGAAATTAATTAATTAATTAAGAGAAATAGATTTCTATGAACTAGGGTGTCTCTAATGTTGTCTTTTACCAATAATTACATTCCC